AACATTCTTCTAATACCTCCTTCCTACTACTTGCAGTGTAGGACAGTTTGTTTTTTAAGCATCTATTTTTAGGTCTATGACTTACCTTTATACTCATCTCTTATACAACTCTTTGCAAAGGAATTCAAGAAATAAAAGCATAAGTATATAAATTGTCTTCTTCAGGTCATCCAGCTGCAAAGCTAGTTCCTCTGAATTTCCAACCCAGACTGCCCTTCAGGCAGTGCCTCCCTCTCTTTACAGGTACAGTTGCGATACTTGGTGAGGTAATAATTTGCATCAGACAAATAAACCCCCAGACCAGAAGACTCCAGCCTACAAACAGGCATTCCCAGGAACTGGTACAGACTTATGGAACAGACTTGGGGTAGATGGGAAAAACCTCTGCAGCAGATCGATCAAGCCTTTCGCAGCTCCAGTGAGGTCACTGGAACGGGTCCAACAAGCAGGGAAGTTGGAGCAGTTGAGGTAATTTTCCAAGCGATCACGTGGGAGCCAGAGAAAAGGGAAATACTATGAGGCGCTTAGGGACATGGTTTAGTGGGCATGGTGGTGTTGGGTTGACGGTTGGACTCGACGATCTTAGAGGTCTCTTCCAACCTTAATGATTCTATGATTCTATGATTCTATATTGCATTTTCACCATAGGAAAAAACACTCTTTACACAGCCAGGCTTAGACAGAGTTGGCTCTGTTTTATAACGTTTCATATCTCTCATTGTTTTATGTGCACTATATATTTTAAGAATTGGATAACAATGGCTTTATGGAAATTAAAGGAAGTTAAATAGATATTGCATTTTAAAAAGTTCTTGTAGCCAGTCCAGCTGGTGTAATTTCTTTTTACCCTTGGACCAGACCTTTGGAAACCTCAGCATGTCTTAAATAAGGCAAGGCCGTAACGTGGTATACTGAAGGCCTGCTGGGCATATATGTGTATATGTGTTTGACCATTTGTGTTGTAATTACATGCTGTGTTCAGGCCACATTCCCTTTGCTCGTGCTGTCCAAGACAAAAATGTCAAACAAGTGCTACTGTCAGCGATGGAATCCCAGAACTTGCTCAAGAAGGGAGTGCCTGGCTGTAAGGGTGCAACATGAGATGGGGGGGAAGAGAGGCAAAAAAGGTCAAAAGGTGTGGGGATGCAGTGCATGCCCTAATCTCCAAGGTGCTCATCCTTTGCCCACACAGCAAGATCACCAGCAACCTGGTATGTTACAAATGATCACAGAGTACAGAATATGTTAAACACTGCTTCCTTATAAAAGGGCTTGCTGGCTTTCTAGCAACAACCAGTCTCTCTTTCTCTTCTACATAGTCCTCCCTCTCCTGGCACTGGAGAGCTGCCAGCCTGCTGTAGCAAAGCCCACAAGCAGAAGAAGTCTGCAAAAGTTGCTCATGTAGCAGCTGCTCCATCAAACTCACAAACTCAGTTGCCACAACACTAGAGCACATACTAAAAGCTTGCACTGTTGTGGGGAAATCAAGGAGGATGGACCTTCTGTTCTTCCAAGTAATTCCTTCTGCAGAAAGCCTCTAAGGAGAACAAACTGTTCCACTGGTGTTATGGAACAACCATCCGACTTTCACCAGGCACTAGAGACTGGGTACAAAATAATGCATGTGGACCAGATAGATCTGGATGCGACTGTAATACTGCTTCTGCGGTCTCGAAGGCACAGCACAGCCATTCCCCAAAAGCATGAAACCTCAGTGGTGCTCATATAGCAAATACATCCTTTTCTCACTGATGGGTGAAAAGAGTTTTACCTTCTTATTTTGTGTCTTTCAACATCTCCTTTTCCAGCCTCCACTGAGGGGCAAACTTACCATTGCAGCTGCTTCCCCACTGTCCAAGAAGCCACAACCACAAGAAATCGTACTGCATCTTCACTCCCTGAGCAACCACGTAGCAAGCATGCTACTGTTTGTGTGCCATTTATTTGAATCAGGAAGCCCTTACAGCAAATAAACTACAGCCAGCTGAGCTGAAACGTGCTAATAAGGATTGCTTTAATGTTTCTCCTCAGGGAACAGGCAATTCTTATAGTGCAGATCTGAAGACAACTTCTGCTCTCCAATGTACTGGTACTCGTCAGAGCAGTTTGATGAAAGCAACTGGGTGGCAAGCAGTGACACTGTCTCTAGTTACCACAGCTGCATGGGTTTTTTTGTTCATTTTTTGTTGTCAAAGAACAGGATTTGTTCCTTGGTTTCTCCAGCAAAAACATCTCTTAAGATCTGGAATTCTTATTTGGGACCTTCAGAAATTAATACGACCTCACCTCTACCGTCGCATAGGGAATATTACTCAGTAGAGACCTAACATTACCTTTTCTCCCTAGAGTGGTGCTTCACAAAATCTGAGAGGGTAACACCATACAGCTAAGCCTACAAGAGGCTCAAGGAAACCTGAGATGATGACAAGCAAATTATTTCGTCACCTCTCAGGATCTTTTCTCTATTATTCTGAACACGTCCATCCTAGGGACCACGCTTTTTCTGTGACTTCTGGACCAATGTCCACAGCTGGATCTAGGCAGGCTGAGGAGTGTGTGAGATTTTTAATGCTGGCTGAAGGAGTTAAAAAAAAAAAAAATAGTGCTCAGTTTTCCTGCCAGAAATGCTTTTTTTTCCATTCGTTGATGCTCGTAAAAGCAAAGGGAGAAGGGAGGTGGCAGTCCGGAGTTCCCACTCACCAGTCAGCACAAGTATGTTCACCTTTCTTCACGTCTGACTTTTTTCTTGAGCCAAAGCTTAAACATTTGGTTACAAGGGCTGGGCATCCAAGGCTGCCCCAGTGCCCCCTAGTGAAAAAACGGTAAAAGCTAGCCCTTGTTTTATCTGATATTGACTGTTCATTTCTATTGCAACCAATAACTGTTGGTAATTAAAGCAGGACCCTTTGTTCTACTGTCTTATAAACAATCTGGACTACTAGTCAACATGGAGATGATATGCAGATTTGTCTTTCATTTCCATCAGACCAGATGCTGATCTGTCTTTCCTTTTCCATTGCAAAACTCAGATCAGGAGTTGGATAAGACTTAAATGACTGAGGTTTAACCCAGACAAGAGTCAGTTGTCCTTTGTGGAGGGAGGGAAGAGCTCTGAGTGTGCAGAAGGGTGTGTCATGCCTCGGTACTCAAATTTCCTCTTAGGTTTCTAAGCAATTCAAAAATTAGGACAGTGCTTTGGCCCTCTAGATACTGCAGATTAGGATGGGATTGGTTAGGCTGACACACAGCTAGTTTAGGGGAGTGGAGGTTCTCTGAAGTAGCTATTGTTGAAGGAGTCATGCCTCTAAAACAATTTGGAGCTGAATAGTCCCAGCAGCTGTGGAGAAGAAATCTGGTTTCCTCCTCAGCAGATGTCTGTATACAATATTTGTGAGAACTGAACTCCTTATCACAACAGGGAATGAATCTTCTCTTCCCTCTGAAGTCTCCAAAACAAGCTCTAGAGTTTCCAGCTTGAAAACAATCTGCTTTCCCAAAAGGCACAGTAGAGTTGTGATGTTTTCCTGTAAATATTCATGGTGATTAAAATTGGACTTTAATAGTTACATGGATTCCTTTTAGGGTTGTGTTGTTGTTGTTGTTTAATTACAATAAGTGTGTTAGCAAAAGTGAAGAACATCTTTAAATTGCATAGTGATTATTCTGTGGAAATGAACCCCTTTCTTTTTGGTTTTTTTTCCATTTCATAGGTAAGGTGGACTCATACTTCCAAAAGGTATAGTTGTTTTTTTTTCACATATGCAGATCTAGTTCTGATTTCCTCACCTTTTTATGTGTCATCCCTGGAAAGACAAACTCTTATCTACAGAATTAAGGGATTTTATGATGACGATTGGTGTCATTACCTCTATTATACAGTAAAAGAAAAGTAAGGTACATGCAGGTATAATGACTCATCCAGTATCATCCAAGAGGCTGATGAAAAAGCTGGGGAAAGAACCTGCCATTCTGAGTCCCAGGTCAATGCCCTGTCAGTGAGCCCCCACTAACTGTAAGGAACAATTAAGCATTCACACAGCCTTAGCAGAATTGCATAGCTCTTCATTGCTTCATTCAGCCATTGCCTCCCCTACAAAAATCAAAACCAAACCCAAATAGCAGACTAGAAAGGAATCAGCTATAATGAGGAAGACATGGGAGACTGGGGTGGGGAGGGGGGCATCTGAATTCTTGATTTTTTAACAGACTCCGGTTCCTTTAAATATCTGTGAATTTCAACATCAGAACCAAATAAATCTTTTGGGAGGTGTTTCCTTTCTCCACGTCCAGCAGCTACCGAACCCGTGCCAAATACCGGAGGAGAGAATAAAACAAAAAAGGGAAAGGACATCATCACTAGCTTTTAAGCAAGCATCTCCTATGCAATCCAATAGTCCCAAACCATTTCATATATTACTGTCACACACTTGAATATAAATATGTCACAACTATATATTGTCATATTGGCAGCTGAAGCATAAGAACACCTCAGGTAGCTTTCTCTATGTTGTATGTGCTAGTCTGTCAGGGTAGGGTCGCAGGCATTCCTAGGCACCTTGCACAATCCAGGCATTGTTGTGTTTACTATTACTGGGTACCTGCCTGGTGGAGCAGAAGATTATGCCACCTGTGACTGCAAAGGCTTTTGCTTTAAGGTTTCATGACCTATAATTTTTGTCAATGCAGGAGAAAAAAGAGAAGGAGAGAGAAAGGAAAAAGTGAGAAAAGAATGTAGTTTTGGTTCTTGGGATATTTCATATATATATTTGTATTATAATAGAATACATATATAATTTTACCGTTATGCACTTATGCATGTGTATTTTTCTATTTGTCTATATAACTATTTAGCTGACCTGTTTAATGGAGAAAAAGAATTCCAGAGTTGGGAGGGACAAATTTTATACATATGTATATATACGTATAATGGAACATAATTTCAGACCAAATCTACAAACTCAAAGTTTTCTCTTAAATAGTTTTTGATGTTCAAATCTTACCTCTGCTCCATCTGTGGGTCACAGTGGCATGAGCACTGTAATAGAACAGCAGCAGCAGCAAAGTCTTCCAAAGCATCCTCCTCTTTAAAATCGTATGTCTAGCAGTATAGTAGCTTTTTAATTTCCTACCTCCTTTCTTTTCAGGAATAAATAAATGGCTTTTCCTCTTCCCCTCCCCCTTTGAAGGAGAACCTGTCTGTTCTTCTGAGTACAGCTGAAGTCAGTGTGCAGCTCCTCTCCCAAATCAAGTCTCCTCGGGATCAGGAAACTTACTTTCACAGACAGACTTTGTTTTTATCCACATCTGGAATGACTCATGGTGCATGTGAGTTTGCTGGCAGCTGTGCGAATAAATATCATTACATTTTTGTAGTTGAGTTTCATTTGTTATATGGGCCAGTTGGAATTTATTTTTGTCCAATAAACAGCCACAAGTAACTTCATTAAAAGACACTCTTGAATCCTAGCTCTGTAGCTACTCCTCTGTAACGGAGGGGGCTATACGCTAACCCATGTCTAAGGTGAAAGCCTCCTCTGGAATGATGTACAGCTGCCCTTGGACGCTTAAGTCAGGGAGTGGGGTATGTGCTCTGCAAGAACATTTTGCTACTGTGATTTATATAAATCACTCCTTTATTAAGAACATATAATGCTGCGCTTAGACTTCAGTTCTGCAAGACAAGCCCTGGCCTTTTCCTCCATTTGGCCAGTGCAGAGAACAGGAAGGTCCAAATCCTTAACTGGCTCTCTTCAACGGTACTACGGGGAACACTAAGCAATCCTAAGGACAATCTACGATAACCAGGCTGAATGTGGAGAGGTGATGCTGAACAAAAAGGCTACTGATAGACGTCTCCTTGCTGACACTGATCCCAGAGAAGACAACACTGGAAGCGTTTATCCCAGAGCGACCCAGCATGGAGGAAGCTGCAGGTATGTACTGTCCCTGGCACAGCTTCAGCAGCAGCATCAGGGTGTGCTTTGTGGGAATACAGCACTGGAATAACAGCAGGTTGCTGTGTGTTGGAACAGACTGATGAAAAATAGGAACACAAAGAGTATTTAGCAGAATGAAGGGATAGGGGATACTCCATTTGGTACCTAGAAATGATGAGTCTAATTCTCTTCTTTTATAGGTGAGTGTAAGCCAGGAACAAATCCACAGACATCCATTAATTTACACTGGTGTAAAACTGGCACATAAGAAAGGAGACTCCAGCTCAGAAGGTATAAATAGAAGAATTAAGGGAAAGAACCAAGAGCTGGAATGACAGAGGGCACTGTGACTCAGGATTAATGGGCACTGGCAGGAAGGCATGGAGAAAACCTGTTCAGCTCCTGTCTGCCTCATGCCAAAGTCTGGCCTTAGCCTCAGTCCCCTCATTCTTCTCTGTCCCAGCCTCAAGTAACACCAGCTGTAAAGGAAGGAGGAGGGTCAAATAAGGTTGTCTTGTTTAAGGCGACTCCACTTCTTTTCCTATATGTACAGATTTTCTTATGCTCAGACTGCCTCAGGTTACTCCTACATGAACAGCACATGAATGTAAGTCAGTATTTTACGTGCCAAGGAGATGACAAAAAGTATAATTCAAGCAGAGGGTGGCTAACTAACTATCTCACTATATACTCCTCTTCTTACCATAACATATCAGAGATGGATCTGAACGCGAGGTTAAAGCTAGGAGTGGGCTCACTCAAATGTACCTGTCTGGAAACTATGAAGCTGGAGCAAACTAGTTTTATGTTTCCTAGAGAGGGGAAGAGAGAAAGAGAGATGCCACAAGAGGATGATTATTCCTTCTTAGCTCAGATAAGTCACTTAGGACAGGATGAGTTGTTTTCTGGAGGAGGCGGATCCAGTCATCAGCATGGTCAATTTTGAGATGATGTGCATCAAGATGACTTGCATCAAGAAGGTGCAAGTTGCACCATATGAACGGACTAATGATCTGTCAACCGCTGAGGAAAAAAACATTGTGGTATAACTCCTACTGGAAAGACTTCAATCAGTAGGGAGGGCTTGAGGAAGTACACTTTAATTTAATAAACCACCTTAGTGAAAGCCCTCTAGCAAGCGAACACAGTGGGTATAGACGGCTTCATTAACTTAACTGCATCAAGCCTAGCTACCCTGGCATGACAATCTTAATGTCAGCAGGGTCTGTGAACAAGATGTTTCAAAGTGAGTAGGCAAGGGAGAAGCAGCACTTAGGATGCGCATTGCAGGCTTGAAAAATGAAAGAAAACTACGAGAGAACTTAAAAACCTGTGGGGTAATAAAGGAACACATTTTCAGTGGTGGAAGCTCTTCTGAGGTGCTGTATCATTTCATTGTTTACATCTAAAGAAATAGCAGCTGATAAGAGAGGATGAAGGAGGCCAGACAGGCTCCTTCCCCCTCTAAACCAGAATTGGAGCTATTTTGCAGAAAGATCCCCGCAGGATGGCTCTGCCTGCTAGCTGCCAGCAACAGGACACTTCCTCTGCTCATTCATTGTCACTGCTTTATATATCCAGCCTAGAAAGGGAGAGGAGAAGAATCTCAGGAACTTCCTTCCCTAATCTTCCCCTCCACCTCCAGCCTCTGGAGCAAGCACCCTAGGAGCAACAGAGGAGCAGCAGCTGAGAGAGACAGAAGAGATGTGTGATAAGACTGGCATACAGGTCAAAGGGCTATGAGTGCATGAAATGATTACTGATCTCTCCTTTTTCAGACCCTGAAGATGTTACTCTGAAGATACATTATATGTAATTTTTTTATTATTATTTATTTTTCCTTAATCTGAGTCTGGCTACAGAATCCCCTCTAGCAGCCTTTTCCTTATCTGAGCTCAAATACAAACTCTCCCCATCTGTGGTTCAAGGCCCCACAGTACAGTCTTCAGATGTTCCAGCTTTGACTGCCTCTCTGTGTGTACCACAACTGTAGGGCAAATTTGACTTTAAGACTGTGAATGATACACTCACATCTGTTTTCTTACAGGAAATGCAGCTGTAAATATAACAGGTCCAGGTAAAATAAAGAACGCTTTCCCTGTGGCATCTCCTCAAGAAGTATAAATGCCCCTTTTCCCCCTTAAAACTGGAGATCTTTTTCTCTCCCACATAAATGTATATACACAGAGAGTCATATCTTCCCTATTAAAAAGCCTTTCAGATGAAACCAGGAAATAAATCTTTCAAGCATGCTCAGGGCACTTCAACTATACAGCTTCTATTCATCTCATGACTATATTTTATTAGATAGTTGCTCAGTTTCAGCTCAAGGCAGTTTCTGCCTATGCTGGAGGTTTGAATCTCTGCAACTATAATGAATGCTGAAGCAGGGTAGAAATCCTAACTATTTATAAATATTAAATGCTCCTAGATTTCTTTGGAAGTATCAAGCAGAGGAGCTTTATGGTGAAGAATTCATCCTGAAGATGCATCTGGTAGGAGAGGGTACCGTGCTGCTGAAGCCAGGAGGCTGAGAGCTGGTCTGCCGGCTGGTCGATATTCAGGTTTTAAATCAGTGCAGTGCTAGACACTGTCACAGTCATGTTAAGGTGAATATTTGTTTTGCCAATTCTCATAAATTCAGGTGTTGGAGCTGCAAGTCCTTCAGTGCTCCCCGTATCTCAAGACCTTTCAGGCACAGGAAAGGTGTGACTTGACTGCTGCCTCTGGCAGGCTGTTTGAGGTGAAAATGGACATTTATGCAACTCTTGGTGATATGACTAGATACCAAGGGAGCAGCTTTTCCATTTGATTCCTCCATCCCGATGCTGTCAGTGAGTGTCTGTACACAATGCTACTCCCATACAGTCTTTTTAAGAAACCTGGAAATAGGGCAGGGAGGAAAGGAGTGAGTGAAGACCGAACAGGGAAGCTGCCAGCTGCCTTTTTGCAGCCCATGCACAGTGAGAGCAGAGAGCTGGTAGAGGTACTCCAAAGCTGTCCTTCCTTCCCATCACAGATGCTGTCACGGTGAAAGGACAACTTCAGCAGGCTGGGAGTGTGGAAACCCTGTATTTCCCAGGGGATGCTCTGGAGTGACCAGTGCTCCAGGTGAGGTGCCTCTATGTCCTCTTTAGTAGCTTATTCTGTGAAATAACTTATAAGCTAATAAGCGAATAGAAGGGGAAACAAGGCAAAGGGTGATCTAAGATCAGCAGCCTGTGGGCCTTCCAAGAAAAATAATCTCTTTTTCACTGGAGAATACCAGTTTATGATGTCAGTTCAGCTTTGGCTTTGATGAGCTTCTGCCAAACCCAAGGCGGGGTTCCAGTCTGCCCTGATGCCTCAGTCGCTGTGGGAGTCCTTTGCAAATCTTCTATCAAACAGACAGATATTTTTTAGATTTGTCCCAGTTCAATTTGAAAACAGAGTGTGTGTGGGGAGGAAGTTCCTCTGAACCAGAAACTCTGCTCTGCAGCCAGAGCCCTGCCCTGCTCCATAGGCCATGCAGCACCTGCCTGCTAGTATGCCAGCACAGTGGAAAAATATTGATGCATGACACAGACATTAGTCTCCTTCCCACCATAGAGATGGATAAATGGAGACATACACACAAAGTGACTCACTCACTGAATGAATTGATGGTAGAGCTGGGGCTAGAAACCAAGAGCCGGTCCATTCCTCTGCCCAAAATATAAGGCCCCGATCTGGCACTGCAGCAGCTCATACAGCACCAGTGCCATCAACCAAAAAGAGAAAGTAGCTTCCACAAGAGGCCAAGAAGCACCTCATAACTAGGAGCACAAAGAGAAAAAAAAAATAGCTCCCAGAAGAAGAAAAGAAGATTTATCGAAACTGTACTGCTGGCATTTGAACTTCATTATCCATGATGACTCTTGCTGGCTCCTCAGCTGAGGTTGCACCTTCCTGCAGCAACAGTTTGGATGGCAGAATCTCACCAAACCTCAAAGGAACAGCAGCCAGTTGGAAGGGACTTTGAGGTATTTTTTAGTTGTCCTTCTGCCCCAGGGCTCCCTTGTGACATTGATCTAGCTGCCTGAGCTCACATTCACAAAAGCACTTAGACGCTGAGCAGATACTTTACAGATCTACATTTAAATAACCAGAATTTAAATTCTGCTCATGCAGCTTTGCAGATATCTGAATTCCTTGTGTGCTTAAGCTTCCCCTGTGAGGCTCCTTCAATGCTCCTATCACTGTATCTACCTTGAA